AACTTCGCCTTTTCAAAATAAATTAACGCTATTTTAGAAATATTCATTTGAAGAAATAATGAAGTATCGTAAAGCACAAATTAAACACACGATATTTTTCTACAAATCGAAAAAAATAAATATACAGGGTGTTCCGTAAATATGCTAAAATATTTTAGCAGTGTGTTCTCTTGTCATTTTAGAGGGGGGTCTTCCTGAGATTTTTTTTAATTTGAGGTCTCATTTTTGAGATATTTGATCTCCAAAATGGCGAAAAATATTAGTTTTTGTTGTTTTTCTTTAAAACGGTTAAACATTGGGAACTTAAATTTTAGTACACATTATAAGCTAATTGAGTGCCATTCTATGGTAGTGTTATGTAGTTCAGTTTACTTTTAGACTAGGTAGAAATGTGGAACTCCTACTTTTGTTTTGTTCAGAACTTTTTTACGGTATATTCAACGGAAGTGAATACAATCGAAGAACTTTAGGAGAGACATTTAATATTTCTAACGAAATAAGAACTTCAGTGCAAACTTTACGGTCTGTAAATCTTAATTTAATTAAAAGACTGCTGCTAAGTTAACATTCAATTCAATTCAATTTATTGAAATTTCAATTTATTAAAAGAATGGTTCTTTAAATTTAATTTTGTTCGTTTATATCGTTGCGCATATTGTTACCATGTTTTTATTTAAGTAAAATTTATTCAAACTTAATAATTGTAATCTGAACCAAAATACACAATTTAGAAAAATAATTTAGGTTGTTAGGAATCAACTAATAATGCGGAACAAAATTACTACATGAAAACGTTATTAGATTTACAAAAATTAACTTAATTATTTACACATTTTGAGAATGACAAAGAAAACGATTTTATGTCTTTGCGGGCAAACTAGTGGTCTTAGGAAAAAACAATAAGAGATAAAAAAAGTTGGCAAATAGCTTGTAGTGATTAACAACATTATGTCGAGAAACATTTAAGTGCACACAAAAAAGTTCTGAATAAAACAAAAGTAGGGGTTCCACATTTCTACCTTGTATAAAAGCAAACTGAACCACGCAGCACTATCATAAAATGGCATTCAATTAGCTTATAAAGTATGCCAAAATTAAAGTTTCTATGTTTAACCGTTTTAAAGGAAAACAACAAAAACTAATATTTTCCGCCATTTTGTAAATCAAATAACTCAACACCGAAACCTCAAACTAAAAAAATTATCAGGAAGACTTAAAACCCATCCTTAAATAACTAGAAGAACACGCTGTTAGAATATTTTAACATATTTACGGAACCGTGTACGATATGTTACCGGCAATGTGCGAAATCTGGCAATATGCAAAATGCCTCGGCATTCTGCAACCTGACCAACTCGTCAAGCATTTTGCAGAATCGCTACTACTTTGGACAATTTGCACATTGACTACGGTATTTTAGGCAATCTGCAAATGTCGTACGCGTTAGTCAATGTATCACATACGTCGAATTTTCACATTGACTAGACAATGTGCATAAACCTGTCGCTACGAAACTGTGCAGGTTAGTTTTGTAACGGAACTTTGTCGCTTAGTTTTTCAAGGAAAGTTTACTGTTTAGTACCCTAAGTAATAAACAACTTTGTAAAATTTATCGCGTTTCCAGTGTTGGTTATTAATTAATAGTTCTTATTCCTGCCCTATTAGCGTCGTGCAAACAAATTTTAATTTTTCGGAAGTTTGGTATTCGGGTTTACATATTATTTAAGGTAAAATGAAAACCAAGGTAATTAATAGGTAACATCTTTGCCAATGAAAAATCAAAGACTTAATATGAAACAACATACAAGATTTTCGAGAAACAATGTGCTGGAAATATGTAAATGTCGTTAATGAAAACAAACTGATCACATCATAATGTTGTGAGTGTGCACAAAAATTTAAAAAACATCTGCATCAGCATTATGGAGCTGATAATTTATGCTTTCATACTTGAATGCTGTTGATAAATTATAATATTAGTGTTAAATAACCGTATTGCATTAAATTGTTTTGTGTTTAGTAAAACAAGAGAGTATTTTCTCATTAAATATATAATTAAAATAATACACAGGGTGGTTTTTTAGTGCGATAAAGTCCATTATTTCCGATGGTGTTGAACTTTCGAAAAATACTTTCATATAAAAGTTGTTGACGCACACAGTGCGCACATTTTAAAAATATCTGATTGATACATGTCTCAGAAAAGTGAGGCAAGATCAAAGTGAATTTTTTTAAATAGAACTACCCATTTTTCATTGGCTCATGGAATGCAGCTTGAAACTCTGCATATGCACCGTAAATTATTTTTTTCTTACTTGCGACGTTGGCAGATTATCCCCATTTCAGTAAAATTTTGCTTAAAAACATGGTATCTAAAAATTAATTGTAGAAGCAAAAAAAGCAGTTAAAGATACAAAAAAATACGTCTTTCCAATCACCACAGATCCGTTAAGAATTCTGTTGAACCAAAATATCAATACAATGTACAGGGTGTTAACAATATGGACTTCAATCTAAAACTTTTTTACGCAATATAACTTTCCTTTTTCAAATGGAAGCCAAGTATATCTGTATCATGCCACCAATTATGAAACGCACTGTATGACTCCAACTTTCTAGATTTCATAATAGTCGGTATCATTTTTTATTTTTCAATCACTGGCGCAGTTTCGTCTTATTTATATGCAGCCAAATATGAACAAACGCAGATCAGTTTAGCTACACATACATTATAATTATTATAATAAAAAATACGTAATAATATATAATAATTATAATGTATATGCACTAATAGATATGGAATTAAATACAACAAAATTGGGCAACGAAAGCGGAAGACAATAGAATACTGATTCTTTTATTCGGAAGAATTCGGCATATAAGAATAGCTTTTTGGTAAATTTTTCAGGACTCTAAGACAATTACTGTACACTAAGACAATTACTCTTTAAATACATTGCGTTATGGTAATTGCAAAAATATAGTGCCAATTTTGTCTATAGAACACTCCTAAAAAGCTCTTGCCTTTGATGCTGCCAAAGTGATAATTTTAATTTTTTTACAAGTGAATAATTTTTAAGTAAGCCCATTCTCTCTCAAGAATGCTGTTTTGTCTTAATCCTACGCGATCGGCGCCTCCACTAAACAAACAACTATAATTTTTGACTGATTCTGTTGTTGGAATCCAAAATCTCTTGAAATTTTGTAGAAAAGAAACATTGCTCCAAAATAAATAAATCCTATTCTGAGGAGCAAATTTCAGTTCGCTGATACTTTAAGTATAGTCGCCTAATTTAATTGTAATAATATGTTACTATTTTTATATCATCGATGGTCGAACAGTCGATGTATGTAAAAAAAAGTAGAAAATTCTTTTCCACATCTTACACATGTACAGGGTTATTGATTGAATTTTGGCCACCCCGTTTTTGCAGCTAATTTGAAATTTACAGCAAAATATTATATACAAAAGTTGTAGATATTGACATCTAGTTTATGTTAAAATAATAACAATTGCTACGGGGTGTCTCAAATTCAAGTGCCTGACCAAATTCAAATTTTTATAAATGGAATGCAAGAATACTTAAATGGTTATTAACTCAAAAACAGTTGAAGATGAATATAGAAATTTTATATCAAAGAGGGCTGGAATTTTGCGTATAGTTAGAATATGAAATAAAAAGTACTACGCGGTTCCATTTAAAAAATTGTGTTTTACCACCACTTGAGTTTGAGACACCCTGTATCAATTGGTATTATCTTACAATAAACTAGACGTTAATATCTAAAACTCTTGTATTTGATATTTTTCTCTAAATTTCAAATTAGATGTGAAAACGGGCTGGCCAAAATTTAATCAATATTGGTTAGTAAAAAACAGTTGAGAATCAATATAGAACGTTCATATCGAATAGGCCTAGAATTTTACGAATATCTCGAATATGCAATAAAAAGTACGGCATTCCATTTAAAAAAGGTAAGTTTGATCTGCCACTTGAATTTGAGGCACCCTGTATCAATAGGTATTATCTTAAAATAAACTAGACGTTAGTATCTACAACTTTTCTATTTAACATTTTTCTCTAAATTTCAAATTAGATGCATAAACAGGGTGGCCAAAGTTCAAACAATAACCCTGTATCGTGTAAAACTTTCATGCCCACAATTCCGCCTTTTCTAATCAATCTCGAACAGTTCAGGATCAATAGCAATCATAATAATAATATTAATAACAATAATAATACTATCAGTGTACAAAAGACAACAAAATAAATTTAAAAATTCATAATTTCAATAAAATTCAATTAAAGTTCGCAATGGCATCTAAATTTTGAAATGAACATACTTATATAGTAAAACATACCTTTGCTGATGCGCTGCCTCTCTAATCCAACAACTGCGACTTGAAAGCTCCTCTTGAATGGTCACCTGGAAAGAAAATTGGAAATTAACCTACATTTTGTCTGTTCGCTGCATTCTTGGGACCTTTTTTTTAATATGAAAATATGAGGAGATTATGATTTTTAATTAAATAACGGAAAAAGAGGCGGCAACACAAACAATGCATCCGAGATTTCATTAGAACGCGAATGGTTCTTTGAAAATTAGGCCGGTGAATAATGGAAGACGAGCCGCGCCATTTCGCGGAAAATAAAGCCAAAATTGTCGTTGGGAATATCTGGTAATGAATAATTTTCACGAACGTAATTACCATCGCAATTAAGGAACAGTCCATTAAAATATTATTGGCGCATTTCAAGGTGGTCTTTTAAAAGAGACACCAATTAGCACAGGACGAAATGGAGCAGTTTCATTTTATTTTTCCACTAAAATCCGTTATTAGTCGCACGTTTATGTAATGGAATACTTTGGAATTAGGTGGCAGATGCTTTTCCAACCAGAACAAATATTTAATTCAATTAGCACCTGGTAAACTTGTATTACATGAAACATTCCACATTCCAGCAACCTGACAATTTTCTCTCAACTTTTTTCTCAAGGAAATGCCGAAATCTACATCATCTTGGCACTCCTGATTGGAGTGGTTACCGTTGTGATTGGCTGTTGGCTTTCCGACAACTGCTGGTCTCCGGACCCGGAAATCGGCGCAGCTCCGGTGGCCTGACCCCAGCTACGAAACCGTCCAAAGCATGGAGGGTTCCACAACCACCACGACCCAGGCGTTGTGGTCGTGGATATGGGCGAGGAGGAAGGAAACTCCTCACCTGGGGGCCGATCTTCGAGTCCAGAGAGCGACTGGCCTCTCGTAGAGGTACGACTTTCAATTTCAAAAAGCTTATCAGTCCCTATACTTTTAGTGTTCCAGTTGTTCATATCAAAAGCTCTAAGTAAGTGAAATATACACACCGGCAAAATTAGGGGAACGGGCATAATTCAACAAAGGCTTGAAGTCACTTTGCTCGTAAACAGTCTATCTGGTTTGCACCTTCTTTTAGCCGAATTCCAGGTTGGTTCGTGGCCAGTGAATCTGAATTATTGTCGCCCTTGATATACAGGGTTATTCACGCTATACGGCACGGAAGTTTGCGGCTAAACCGTTTGATTTTTAAAAAGTATTATTTTATTAATTGTCCGACGCCTACCGAGCGCACATTTTAAAAATATTTTTGTAATGGTGTCCCAAAGGCTCTAAAGGTATCAAAGTTGCGTTTTTTTAAATGGAATGTCCTGTTTATTATTGCATTTCTGGATTCGCTGAACAAAATAAGTGTCTGTTTTAATAAGGTTTATAATACCTAAATCTTAAGGTTTTTTAAATAATACGAATTTAATCAAAATCTAATCTAATTTTCACGTGTCAAAAACTTTAGAAGTATTTAAGTTATGTAAGCGTAATTTATAGTGAAGTGTAACAAGATATAATATTTTATGTCCCAATGATAATAAACTTACCATGTTATACAGGGTGTCCACAAATTTAAACTAATCAAATAAGGCTCTAACTTGATTAATTTAAATACAACCCCATATTTTTTAACATACCAGGATATGAAATTTTTAATTTTCTATCGAATGATATTAGGATGTTAATAGCTAAGTTTTTGCCTTTTTACAAAATACGTCAAATAGTCGTTCTGTGCACCATTTGGTGTAGTTTAATTTAAGGTTCCAATGTATGTAAGTTGCCTATGCCATTTACATATGTCAAATCATTTATTTTATTTGTCAGTTTAGACTGCAAAGTATCTTTTTGAAAGCTAGAGTGGTATTGCTTTTTATAATTGTAGACGTGTTGGTCGTTATTTTTATATTATTATTGTGTTGCTTAGTTAAAATGAAGAATTATCGAAGGGAAGAGCGTATTGACATGATTTTCACCGTTGGAGAATGTCAAAAAATTGTTTATTGGCTTCTCAAGTTTATGCTCAAAAGATTCCTGGAAGAAATCATCCTAAGCCAACAGTTTTTAAGCGCTTATTACACCAATTTGAGGAAAGCGGGAGTGTCAATTATAAAAAACCCATTACAAGGAAATCGGTCACTGAAGATGAAGAAAATATTTTCGCGGTAATTGGTCCAGTTATCGAAAATCCCAATGTTAGTCAAAGACTAATATCCAAAAGTACTAACATTAGTCAATCAAGTATTTCCAGAATTATCAAAAAGCACAACTTTTATCCTTATAAAATTCAGCTTTCAGTAGAGTTTTGCATGTGGGTGTTAGATAAAGTGGCAGAAAATGAAAAATTTTTTGAAAATGTCGTATTTAGTGATGAATGTACTTTTCATAACAATGGTCTCATAAATAGACACAACTTTCATTATTATTCTGATACGAATTCGCGCGCATACAGGGTCATGAAAAATCAAAATAGGTGGTCAGTTAATGTATGGGGTGGAATACTGGGCCAATACTTAATTGTACCCTATTTTTTGAAGGACATCTAAATGGTTTGATGTTTCTCCAGTTTCTAATAAACCATCTCTCAATATTATTAGAAGAAGTCCCTTTCAATATTAGAACCAACATGAGGCTTCAATTGGATGGAGCTCCCTCTCATTATCACTGCGAAGTTCGGCAATTTTTAAATGCCAACTTTCAAAACAGGTGGATTGGCAGAAATGGGTTTCAAAATTGGCCCCTCAGATCTCCGTACTAAACTCCACTAGATTTCTTTTTGTGGGGGTACATAAAAGGAATTGTCTACCATACGCTTCCGACAACTTCACACGATATGAAATCACGCAGAGACGCTTTTAAAACTGTTACTCCGCAAATTTTGTCCAGAGTTAGCAGTGGTTTTGAAAAAAGAATTTACAAGTGCCTGGAAATGGACGGTCAAGATTTCGAACATTTGTTATAAATAATTTGCCTTTGTTTTATGTTATTGTTGATATGTTATTTAACCTTTTAATTTAAAAAAACACCGAATGGTGCACAGAATCATTATTTGGTGTATTTTGTAAAAAGGCAAAAACTTAGTTATCAACATCCTAGTACCATTCGATAGGTAATTAAAAATTGCATTTCCTGGTAAGCTAAAAAATATGGGGTTGTATTTAAATTAATTCGTCTGTGCAAATTAAAACACATAACTGACAATTTGCACAGACGAATTATCAGGGCCAATTTTCATATACTGTATTATACTACTATTGTTACACAATTTATTAACATACTCTTTTTTAGGTTCATTTAGGTTCTTTTGATAACGATAGCAGAAAATAGCTATCGAAACGTCAAGNNAATTTTTCAAATTAATTTCTCTACTAATTGGAATTTTCTCTTACAGCTTGAGCCTAAGTGTGTCGCAGGATACCCTCTAGGTGATAGTTCTTGATT